GAATGGCAGGGAAAGTCGCCTCCTGGCTTGCAGTTCAGTACAGCTTGCTTGTGTTGGCGCTGCAGGACTTGCAGAAGTAACCCTGGAGGGGGGCTGTCCTTCAAACAGCCTACAATAAAATGCTTGGCACTTGGCAATCGGTGCTGTGATGTGATTCCAGGCCTTGGTCTGGGAATCTTGTAGGTCTGACTACTGCCCTGTGATACCTTGGATATCCACTTGTTCTTTCTGAGCCTCAGTTTACTCTGAAGAGTGGGCTCTGCTGACAGCTTTGTAAAGGAGATGAATGCTTGAGCACATGGTATTCAGTCATTTCTAAAGAAAGGGTAGCGTGCTATTACAGAGAAGGCAGAAATCCAACACACTCGATGGGACACCTAAGACATACCAGGCTGTGCCTCAAGACACTGAATATCTGCCAAGGAACCAAACAGACTCATGTTGGGCAGGGGGGCATTGAATGAGTGATGGGTTTTAGGACATGCAGGAGTGGGATAAATACCAGGGACAGAGATGTGTCAGGGCCTGGGGTGGCTGGGGGTGCTCAGACCATATACTGCTTTGAGGTATAACTTTCAAGTGATTTTTAAAGGGTGCCCCTCATTCCCAGGGTATTCTCCCAGGACAGTGCTGGCCAAGATTTGGGGGGCATCCCCTACCTCTACCTTCTGCCTTTGGGTTTTCTTCTTTAATGCATGTCTTGCTCTTTGGAGTGAGGTTGAATGGGGTGATGAGAAGAAAAAGAGACAATGTTTTACAGTTAAACTTAATGTTTATTTAAACATCAGGTTTCTGGGGGAATTTGAAGCCCTTTGTGTATCAAGCTTAGTTGTAGAAAAATAGGGACCTATTAGAAGACCAGTTGACCAGGGTTTCAGTGACCAGTGTCTTAACAGGAGCCTCTCTCCTGGTATGGCCCTCCACTGCTCTCCTGCTGTGCAGTGTGCCCAGACACCTCCTTGAAGTATAAAAGGATTCTTGATACTTTCACTGTTGGGTCCTGCAGGCCTATAGCATTAGGGCAGGTATATGCTAATTATATGTAGATGGTGTGCAAAATCACAGGTGGACTACCACTCTGTTACAGGGGGCATGTCCCTTGGGATCATCCCTTAGTCTCATACGGTAGTGCTGACTCCAGACTCACTAGCACCAATTTGAAAACCAGGATTCCAGCTAGCTGAACAACTGTGGAAGGGCACTGTGGATATGTGCTGGAACTTTGGTGTCCTCCAGAGAATACGCTTCTGTGTCCTGTGTGGAGAGACACAGAGGATAGAAAACCAAGCCTGGGGGAATTGGGAATGAAATAAGACATCCAATTCAAATCAACACATATTTTTTTGAGCACCATGAACATACAAGGAACCATTCTAACAGGGAACAAAAGACCTCTTAAATTCCAGTGGGGGATCATTTCATCGGGACCCCTCCTTTTACAGAAAAGGGAAATGAAGCCCAGCAGCATAGAGGGGAGAATTGACTTGTCCCAGGCAAGGTCACCTGGCATGCCAAGCGCAGATCTTTGAGGCTGGTGGTACATGGATACTTCCCTCCCAGCCCCCTGAAATGTGACTACTGTTGATCACGTTACTTTCATATAGAAATAAAGCCCCATTGCCATTAGACTTCCTATCCCTGTTTCAGCCCACTTGTTTTCTTCCACCACTTACACTCCAGGTAAACATTTCCTCGGAACTTCTGAAGCCACTGCTTCAAGGTTCTCATTTCCCTTCATATGTTTCCTCTTGGTTCCACTGAAAACCCTCTCTCTGCCCTTCCTCTCTGCCTCCCGGGGCTCAGCTACCCCTTACTCCTGGGCTCTGGGCTGCGGCATCTGGCCTCTCTCAATCCTTCCCTCTTTTCTCTAAACTGCAAACAGAGGTGGCCCGAGCCTCGGAAGGCTTCTGAACTGAGGGCACCCTACAGATGTGTAAACATTTTACCTTGCTAACCAGGCAAGCCGCCTTCCAAGGGCAACAGGAAAACCAGGGGCTGGGAGCCCCTGGCAAAATAAAAACCTGCAGGGAGAGGGAGAGGGAGAGAGAGAGAGAGAGAGAGAGAGAGAGAGAGAGAGAGAGAGAGAGGAGAAGATTCTGTTTCAGATTTGAATGTTCTCATTAGAAGACCCTTCATTTTCTTTTTGTAGCAGGACGGAGTAGACAGGGGAGGGAAAGAAGTGGAGCTAAGATGCGGGCTGGACATGAATGTGGTGACTTCAGCAACCTCTGCTCCTGTTGATTCCTGATGTGCAGAGAGATCTGGGGCAATGGGATCCAAATTTGGAGTCCAGTCTTTGTCTTTGGAGGGAGTTGGCAGGGAGGTAGCTTTTTATATATACTCCCTTAGTATCATCTAAGCTGATGGGGATTTATGATTTACAAGAAGGGCTTGTCCGTGGGATTGAGGGGACTTTTGCCTTCATTCCAGCTCTTAACCAGTTAGGCAAGATACCTTCAGGGCACCTTCTCTCTTTGGCTTTGCTGCATTTTATTTCTGGTTGTTTCCTACTTTTTCATCTTTGATGTTACTCCCAGACCTTCCAGCATCTTAAGAAGGAACTCTCCTTTGGACAGTCATTGTATGCCAGGGACTCTATATCCACTATGTCATTTAAGTATGACAACATATGAGGGAATTAAGGTCCACAGAGGGGAAGTGACTTTGTCCCTGATGTACTGATAGTAATTGCTGTCATTAGAATTCAAGCAGATTATCCTGAGTCCAAAGATCCTGCCCTTTCTCCCCATACCAAGAACACATTCTGCCCTCTGAGTCTCTCTGTCCTTTAGCCATGGAGATACAAAGTATTGTCTTTTACTCTGTTTGGTCCTTAAAGTCCTTGCCTTGTCTCTTTTCCCACTCTGTTCAGAATCACGTGTCCCGTGCTTATTCATGAGACATTAATGGAAGGCCTGCTGCAGCAGGTGCTGGACAGGTTATGGAGATGACCCAGACGTGGTCATCACTCTCAAGAAGACCCAGTCTTGCAGAGAGGAGGCAATGGGAAGTCACATAGGCAACTCTTGAACGGGACAGCCAGTGTCAAGTTTCCTAAAAGTAGAACAGGTTCAGTGGAGAGAGTGATTTCTACTCACAGGGCTGGCATTGGAAATCCTGGAATAAGGGAAATCAGACTGGGTCTGAGTACGTAACGGGGAACTTCATTCAGTCCCCTGCTTGACCACACAGAGAACCAAGACCCAGAAGATTTAATTGGTGTTTTGCCAAGGTCACCCTAACCATAAGAGCAGGATGACTGTGGATGGAGACTCTGACCTGAAATATGGTTCAGCAGGGAATGGGAAGAGAGGTGTAGGTGGGCCTAGATCCTCAGCCAAAATGCTGGCTGTGTTAGCAGCTAGCAGGGATTTACATAAATTCTCAGGTCCCAGAGCCACAAAGGAGTAAAGACTGTGTGGGCCTCCTCTATTGATTTTTCTGGACACTCTCCATGCTCTTTTGATGAGCATAATGGCAGATGCACACTCAGAGTTATGGTGACCGCAGTGATTCTCCATCTGAGAACAGGGACTGTCTTTCTAAATGAGCATCATCTATTCATTCTCATCTCCCTCTCTTTCTCCTCCCACCTGGCCTCATGCATCATCTGACACTTAAAATACACTCTTAATTAGAAAGTCCTCTTCCCTATCCAACAGCTTTGTTTGTGCCAAGGACACTGGGTATAATCCAGAAAGGCTAGGAACAGGGGATTGGTAAGTATAAAGATAATTAGATTCAGAGAGTATCCACTAAGCTACTTCTTAACATTCTCAGAATAAGTCTAGGGATGCCTGGCTTGGAAAGACCCCAAACATTTAGCTAAAGCATGTGATACCCCCCAGGTAGCTGAGGGGTCCAAATCCCTGAGGCATGAGTAAAGGGGTAGGAGATGCTACGAAACTAGCACACAGGACAGTGAATTCCAGAATCTTATAGAACTGGGATCCACTTACCAACCAGTTGACCCTGACCCTGTCTCTTCCCTTTCTTTAATTGCCATATCCATCTTGACACAAATTAGAAACTTAGTATCACTGATGTATTAGCTGAACTAATACATATACAGACCTTGACACAATGTGTGGCCTGCAAAGAGGCTTGGTGGACTTTGCTCTAATGTACTAATAATGATCTAGGCATTCCTGGCCTCTTCTTATGTTAAGAGGGTACACGTGTGTCTATGGATTATATATAGATTAGTACTAGATAAAAGCAAGCTAAACTGGGTCTTAGGAGATTTGTCAATGATTGATTCCATGGAATGCAACAAATGCTTTCCATTCTATGGGTCTCAACTCCTTCACCCAGAAAGAGAAGGAGTTGGAGGTGATGATCTTCAAAAAATGGTTCAGCTATTAATTGTCTGCCTTTCTTTGGGGATGCACATTAGGGCTTAGCCAAGATTCTTGTTAGAAACAGCCCTTTTCAGTCCTTGGCCCACACTTTTCTAAGCCAATTTTCCACAGGGTTGACACCACAGATCATTGAATGACTGCTAAGTGGATCCTAGGGAATGCCCTTTTAAGTGAGCACTTTCCATTTATCACCGCCTCCCCTCCCACTATTCCTCCTTTCACATCAAATATCATACTACAATTAATATACTCTCTCCCCTGGTCTTCTTTCCCATTCAACTCTTTGCAAAACCAACGGTTTACATGTTTTTATTACCACTGTTGTTCTTCTTGAGTTTTCTTTGAGGGAAGCACCCATTTTTCCAAAGTTTTCTTTCATGTGCCATATTGAAAAATGGCAGTAAAACTGCCTGAATTCAAGTTGTAGTTAGACTGCCTCAAATATAGCTCCCTTGCCCTCTCAGTTCCTCCAGCCTTCGCTTTGCCCTTGGGGAGGTCCCAGAGGCAAGGTCCCACCAGGGCAGTTTGAAAACCACTAGTGCAGAATATCCTGATACGTATTTAATCAGAGAAGAATAACTTGCCCACCTTCTCCTTCCATCCTTGATTCATTGATCTTTTTCCTTTGGGGTCACACAGGGCTGTATGACAAATGCTCTTACACCTCACGAGACCGAGGATGGGTCGTGGGCATTCACACCGTCAGTGATCAAGGCCACAGAGACCCACGCTACTTTTTCTCCTTGAAGACAGACCGGGCCCGGCAAGTGACCACCATCAATGCCCACCGCAGCTACCTCCCAGGCCAGTGGGTATACTTAGCTGCCACCTATGACGGTCGGCTGATGAAGCTCTATGTGAACGGTGCCCAGGTGGCAACCTCTGGGCAGCAAGTGGGTGGCATATTCAGCCCGCTGACCCAGAAGTGTAAAGTGCTCATGTTGGGAGGCAGTGCTCTGAACCACAACTTCCGGGGCTACATTGAGCACTTCAGTCTGTGGAAGGTGGCCAGGACTCAGCAGGAGATACTGTCCGACATGGAAACCCATGGCCTCCACACCCCTCTACCTCAGCTCCTCCTCCAGGAGAACTGGGACAATGTGAAGCGCACTTGGTCCCCCATGAAGGACGGTCACAGCCCCCGAGTGGAATTCAGCAGTGCTCATGGCTTCCTGCTGGATACGAGTTTGGAGCCCCCTCTGTGCGGGCAGACGCTGTGTGACAACACAGAGGTCATCGCCAGCTACAACCAGCTCCCGACTTTCCGCAGGCCCAAGGTGGTGCGCTACCGCGTGGTCAACCTGTACGATGATGACCATAAGAACCCCATGGTGAGCCGCCAGCAGGTGGACTTCCAGCACCAGCAGCTGGCCGAGGCCTTCAAACACTACAACATCTCCTGGGAGTTGGAGGTGCTGGAGGTGAACAAGTCCTCTCTGCGCCAGCGCCTCATCTTGGCCAACTGTGACATCAGCAAGATCGGGGATGAGAACTGTGACCCCGAGTGCAACCACTCGCTGACTGGCCATGACGGTGGGGACTGCCGCCACCTGCGCCACCCTGCCTTCATGAAGAAGCAGCAGAATGGTGTGTGTGACATGGACTGCAACTATGAACGGTTCAACTTTGATGGTGGGGAGTGCTGTGACCCCGAAATCACTGATGTCACCAAGACGTGCTTTGATCCTGACTCTCCACACAGGTAAGACCCTCCTGGGCAGAAGATGCCCAGTAAGTAGCTGAAAACTCTGCTCCATTTTATAGATAAGATCCCCTGAGGCCTACAGGGTGAAGACAATTTGGTCATGCAGCAGCTTAATGACCAGGGCGAGTGTATTGCTCAGGCAATCAAGAGGACCATGTGCAAGCATAGTTCATTATTCATCTTGAGAATTTCCCATTGGTCATGAAGAAAAACTCAAAGCCCTGTGTTCTCAAAGAACTCAATTTATATTGGTTGGCACTCAATGAGTACAAAAAGCTATGTACTATGTATAATGGAGTAGTTTAGAGCTTTGCCCTTCAATAAAGAAGTCTCTTGCCCGTGACAATTCAAATTTAAATCAGTTAAAACTAAATAACATTTAAAATCCAATTCCTGAGTTGCATGAGCCCTATTTCCAATATGAGGTCACCATAGGTAGCTAGTGGCCACCATACTGGATGGAGCAATATGGAATATTTTCATCATCATGGAAAGTTCTAATGGACAATGCTGATGGAGCTGGAGACAGTGGGGTCAGATAACCTGGGCCTGACCTCAACTCTACCATTTTCTTACTTTGTGACCTCTTAGAAGCTTCTAAGGAAGTTTCTACGTCTGTAAAATGGGAATGAATATAGCACCTACTTGGTTCAAGTTGCAGTGGGGACTGAGAGGATGCATAAAGTGCAGTCTCTTGCCATCAGTGGCTAGCACATAATTAGCTCTTGATCAGTGTATTTGTCATTCCTTGTCTAATGAATGTGAGTGTATGGTGTTGAGGGGGTGGCAGAGGAGATCAAGAAAAAAGTTGACTTGCACCTTGAATATGAGACTTCTTTGGAAGAGGTGATATGTCAGCAACGTCTTCAAGACGAGGTGCCATTCGAGGCATAATAGAGCAAGGCTAGAGATCTAATGCACATGAAGACTGTAAGTAATAAAATTGTACTGTATTTGGGATCCATGCTAAATGAGTGGATTTGAACTGCTCTTGACAGACAGGCACGTATACACAAAGGTAACTATGCGAGATGATGGATATTTTATGAGTTTCACTATGGTAACATTTTTATTATCTCCATGTATCCCAAAACATCCTGCTGTAGACCTTAAATATAAACAATAAAATTCATTTTTTAAAGATAGGTATAATTTGGACAGCAGAGACTAGGGGAGAAGGCAGGACACTGGAGGCTTTTAGAAAGCTAAGAGGGGACCCCTATCTAATGCCTTGCTTAGTCTCTGTCATGACCAGTAACCCCAACCTGGACCCCAAAGGTGAACTCCCCAGTGACCCATAGTTAATATGAGACCTGAAGAAACTGGTTTTTAATCCAGAGAGATGGACAACATCTATTTTCCTGTTTTTCCCAGATTCAAGCTGAACTTTCCCATTCTGCCCAACACACAGGACCCTGCACTTGCTGATGGCTGTAGCACATTTGCCGACCTCTGCAGGTTTTCTGCTGACACTTCCCTTTATGTCTCTGTCAAAAGAGCAAGGGCCTCCCGTACACAGGCAAAGTACCTATGTGCAGAGGAATGACGGTGCTGGCAGGGGAATGTCCTGCCTGGCAGCCAGTCAGGAAGCACTTCAGCTCAGCCTCCTGGCACCAGGAGGGCCCCTGGACTCTCACCTTGGCGCCGTGACATGTGAGAAGCAGCCTTGCCGTGTGGCTAGTTCCTTCCAGGTCATGTGGCACCGTGGGCTCTGCTTCCATTTAGTCCTTGCCAGAACTTTACAAGGGAGACAAGATATAGGCGTTAACCTTTGCATTTGACTGATGGGAAACAGAGGAAACTTGTTAGAGAGTGAAATGACTTAGCCAAGTTCACAGATGAGAAAAGTCAGTAGGTGAATCATAAATGCAGTTCTTCTGTGATCAGTGTAATTTGTGTTCTATTAAAGCCAGGAACCAGGAGGTATCTACGTGCCAGGGAAGAGTGGGCATAACTGAAAGGCATCACCCATTTGTACATCCATTCATTTGCTCATTCACTCATTCATACAACAAAATGTTTGTTCAGTGCCTGCTAGGTGCCGGGTAGGTAGGGACCCTTGGCTTTATTTTGCTAAAGGAAATCCTGGATTCAGAAAGATGAAAGGATCTAACTAAGGTTACCCCACTAACATATGGAGACGTTGGATTAAAACCCAGGCCTACTGACTACAAAGCTCCCACTGAAGTGGGATATTTTTAAATTCAAGCAACAATTAGAGGCAGAAATAAAGGACAGGGGTGACAGGCAGGGTGGCTTTACTAAAGGCTTGGGAGAAAGCTGATGACAGTGATCCATCACTGGGTCAGGATCCAGGGAAGCTGGCGTGTGCAGAGCACCATGCTGGTGTGGAGGGGCTGTGGGGCCCCATGTTCCAGATAATTCACAATCAGCAGACAGCACTGGTAGGTTCCAAAGGCCTCTTCTAGCCTCAGTCATGGCACTGCATGCCCGGAGCACCTGTGAATGACCATGTGTCTGTGCTGTGACCACTCACGCCATGGTCTATTTGTTTGCTGGCTGGCAAAACTATGTGCCCCACCAGGCTATGTGGTCATCTCCCTATGAGGCTGGGGGTTACAGGGTTCTGGCCAAATCAGCTCTCCTGGGTGAAGGGAGAAACCTGTGGAAGAAATAGTTTCTTTGCGACCTTAAACAAAAGAGAGGCAGGGTGGGAAGGAGGAAGGAAGGAAGGAAGGAACGAGGGCAAGAAAGAAGGGAAGAGGGCCAGCCCTTCTAATAGAAACAGGGAAACTAGGTGGATTTTAATAAATAGCTGAAAGCAAAGCTCATGCAGAATTTGTTCTGTCTCTACCTGTAACTCTAGCTCTATCCCTATACCTATCTTTCCATGTCTGTCTTTACCTCTTTTTATGTCTCTTTCTTAATGGGTAAAGAGAATATTTAAAGCTCTACTTCTTAACCTATGGCAAAAGACAGGGATTTTTTTTTCACTAAATGTCTCAAACTAGTATCTTTTTCATAGACAACAAAAATGAGCTGATATAAAAATGAAAGTCCTTCAGAATCCTGCAACAATGTCAGGTTCTCGAAAGGTTTCCAATTGCTGACTCTCCATTTCTGTATTCTCTGTGCCATGGGCAGCTCATGGATGGCCCACTTTGAGTAGCACTGATTAAAATTCATCATTCTCTCAAATTCTGTGGTACTTCCCCGGAGAAAAATAAGATCCACCCAAAATGCAGCTGAGCAAATTGTCCGATTCCAACAGAGAAGTACCAATTCTTTTGAACACACTGAAACTCTCCCTTTTTGATCTACTAGTCCTTGGTCCCATTGGTCCGAGATTCAGGAATGCATGTCTTACAGGAGAGTACCCAGTTCCTGAGGAGGGTCTTCAGAAGGCATCCGAATGATGTCAGTTTTCTGACTTGGCAACATGCTCAGAGATTATTCAGCCCAACCTCCTTATATCATATAAAGGGAAACTGAAGCCAAAGCTCACACAGTCCATTAATGGTGAAGCTTGGGAAGAGGGGTTCCAGATTCCCAACCCTGGTCATCTGCTATGGCCCAGTTTCCCAGAATTGCCATGGAGTTCTTTTTAGACACAGACACCTGCTACCTCATATTCTGCCCTCACTGCCTTCTTCTGCTTCTCCCAAGAGCTTCGGGTTGTGAAGTGCTGAGTAAGTTAGGAAGAAAATTAGATCATGGCCTTGAGTTTTTATGAGCCACTTCAGACCTACTATAGCTGCATTGGCAGTGGGTTTCCTTAGTGAGAGGCAGTGATAAGGACAGCCAGCTGAGGATGTTGAAGAAGGCCACTAGAACAGTGAGGAACTGGGAGCCATGCCATATACCCATTTGAGGATGCCTGAGCTGGAGGAGAACATTGTCACAGGGCCATGACCACACAGTCATGACACATACGCTTTAAGTCTCTGAAGGCCTGTTCTATGGGAAAGAGGACAGAATTATTCTATATGGTTTCTAAAAGCATGGTTTCAGCTGCAGGAGGAAGCTTGGAGCTGAGTGACAGATGATGGTGTCTCCAGTCCATGTGGTTCTTCCTGGGGAGTGCTTCCCTGCAGGTACATGGGCTCCCCATCACCACTGGCCTGAAGTAGACACTGATAGCCATGCACAGGGAGACCATAGCTGTGATCACAGTGCTAGTGGAGAAAGTGACCTTGTTGGTCTTGGGTTGTGCACAGCCCAGCACAGCACAGCACAACTTTTTGTTGATATCATATTCCAAGTCATGTTAGGAAACTACATGATGGTTTCTTTTCTGTCTATTAGGCATTCATTGGGTATTCAGCATCTCTGCTCTTCATTGAGGGTGTTGTGATGGGCTGAACATGTCTTGCACCGTAGAGGGGCCTCCAGTTTTACAGGAAAGTTGAATGAAAGCATTATATGTCATCAGATTGAGGACAGAAGACCTGAAATGCCAGAGATTTATTCTGATTAGGGAAAACAAGGCAGGAGGAGAGATGATTTGAGTAGACATCCAGGAATAGGCAGCCTGTTGAGAAATAGAGACTCACACTGCATCAGTGGTCAGGGTCTTGGCAGGGAACAGAGGGCATATTCAAACAGAATAATTAAGGAGAGTTGAAGGAGGGGCTGTCTTGAAGGCACAGCTATTTACAACATTGCAGGAAGGGTTTAGGCCAACCAACGGAACCTCGGGCTTAACTCAGAGCAAGCAAACCTGGGTAGCCATTTCTACCTTTGATCTGTGGGGTTAAGAGAAGGGCGTGACTGTGGAACCCAGAGACAGTGGCCATATGGAGAGGGTTTCCTGGCAGCAGCTGTGGCTCTCAGAAGAGGGAGGCAGCCACCTGACTAGAAGGGACCTAGGACAGTTGCCTGTCATTCTCTCCACACTGTCATTCTCTCCTGCCAGTATTTTCCATTGGGTGAACCAAACTGGAAATCACAAGGCAAAGGGACTTGATGCAACCATAGAGGCCACCCTCCCCAGGGGGTAAGGAAAAGTGGCTCAGGATGGAAAAAAATAGACTTTC